GCTCAGTGGTAGAGCGCTTGCCTTGCATGCCTGAGGCCCTGGGTTCGATTCCCCAGCACCATATAAGCAAAAAGAAAAAAAAAAGCCGGAAGTGGCGTTGTGGCTCAAGTGGTAGAGTGCTAGCCTTGAGCTGAAGAGCTGAGGGACAGCACCCCACGACCGAACCCAAAAAAAAATGTGTGTGTGTGTGTGTGTGTGTGTGTGTGTGTGTGGTGTGTGTGTGTGTGTATGTATGTATTTTAAGCCAGGTGCTGGTGGCTCACCCCTGTAATCCTAGCTATTCAGGAGGCTGAGATCTCAGGATCTCGATTCAAAGCCAGCCAGGGCAAGAAAGTCCATGAGAGTCTTATTGCCAATAAATCATCAGAAAACCAGAAGTGGCCCTGTGGCTCAAGCAGTAGAGCGCTTGCCTTGAGCTGAAGAGCACAGAAACAGCGCCCAAGCTGAGATGAAGCCCTACAACCAAAAAAAAAAAAAAAAAGTGTGTGTGTGTGTGTATAAAACTTATTTATTTTTCCCAGTCCTGGGGTTTAAACTCTGAGCCTGGGTGCTGTCCCTGAGCTCTTTTTTGCTCAAGGCTAGCAATCTACCAGTTGAACCACAGTGCCACTTCTGGCTTTTTCTGGTGGTTAATTGGAGATAAGAGTCTCACAGCCTTTCCTGAGTGGGTTGGCTTCAAACTGAGATCCTTATATCTCACCCTTCAGAGTAGATAGGATAACAGGCATGTGTCACTACCACCCAGCTGGCAAGGATATTCTTTTTGTTGTTTTGTTGGTCGTGGGGCCTGAACTCTGGCCTGGGCACTGTCCCTCAGCTCCTCAGCTCAAGGTTAGTACTCTACCACTTGAGCCACAGCACCACTTCTGGCTTTTTCTGCTTATATGATGCTGAGGAATCGAACCCAGGGCCTCATGCATGCAAGCAAGCACTCTACCACCGAGCTACCCTCCTGGCCCATGGCAAGGATATTTTTAATGTCAGGTACAACATGTGTATTACTACTACATAAAGCAGTATTGACAGCTGTACCCATGTCATTTGATCTACTCTTCAATCTACCTGGGTTTTGCAGCTTTATTCATCTAAAAATAATTACTAAGGCCTGGAGATGTAGCTCAGTGATAAAGTAAGAACCTGGTTTAATTCTCAAACTGACAAAAAAGAAAGAGGGAAGGAAAAAGAAGAGAGGAGAGGGGAGGAAGAAAGAGAAGAAAGACAGAAAGACAGAAAGACAGACAAAGACAGAAAGACAGACAGACAGACAGACAGAAAGAAAGAAAGAAAGAAAGAAAGAAAGAAAGAAAGAAAGAAAGAAAGAAAGAAAGAAAGAAAGAAAGAAAGAAAGAAAGAAAGAAAGAAAGAAGGGCTGAGAAGGTGGCTCAGTGGTAGAGTGCTTGCCTTGCATGCCTGAGGCCCTGGGTTCGATTCCTCAGCACCACATAAGAAAAAAGCTGGAAGTGGCGCTGTGGCTCAAATGGTAGAGCGCTAGCCTTGAGCTGAAGAGCTGAGGGACAGCGCCCAGGCCCAGAGTTCAGGCCCCACAACCAGACCCAAAAATAAAGAAAGAAAGAAAGAAAGAAAGAATGAAGGGAGAAAGAGAGAAAGAGAGAAAGAAAGAAAGAGAGAGAGAAAGGAGGGAGGGAGGGAGGGAGGGAGGGAGCGAGGGAGGGAGCGAGGGAGGGAGGGAGGGAAAGAAAGAAATGAAGGAAGGAAGGAAGGAAGGAAGGAAGGAAGGAAGGAAGGAAGGAAGGAAGGAGTGATTCTTACCAACACCATCATGCCTCAAGCTCAAAATGTGCCATACTTGAAGGTAAGTGCCTGACAACTGGTCCCAATTTTTGTTTGTTTTTTGCCAGTCCTGGGGCTTGGGCACTATCCCTCAACTCTTCAGTTCAAAGTGAGCACTCTAGGGCTGGGAAGGTGGCTCAGTGGTAGAGCGCTTGCCTTGCATGCATGAGGCCCTGGGTTCAATTCCTCAGCACCACATAAGCAAAAAGAAAAAAGCCAGAAGTGGTGCTGTGGCTCAAGTGGTAGAACGCTAGCCTTGAGCTAAAGAGCTGAGGGACAGCGCCCAGGCCCAGAGTTCAGGCCCCACGACCGGACCCAAAAAACAAAACAAAACAAAGTGAGCACTCTACCACTTGAGCCACTTTGCCACTTCCGGTTTTCTGGTGGTTAACTGAAGATAAGAGTCTCACGAACATTCCTGCCCAGGCTGGTTTGAACCTTGATCCTCAGATCTCAGCCTCCTGATGGTCCCGTCCCAATTTTTGTTATATAGAAATAATAATCAACATGCTTAATTGTAAAAGTGAAATGTGGTTGATAATCTTATGATAAAGTTAACATGTTAAAGTGGACATAAACCAGTAATTAAAATATCTAAAAACTGAATTTTGAAATGGACTTTTAATTAAAAGGTACTTTCCCAATTAAGTGCTGAAAATATGCTTTTTGTGTAAATACATCTGCCTTTGATATTAATTGTACTTATGCAACACCATAAGATCAATAATATAAGCCCTCTAATTACCCGTAGTATTTAAATTCTTGTGCACTAGAGAGTAATTAAATCATCTAAAACAACGAAAGTCCTCATCTTTAAAAATCCCTTACAGTTATTTAAGAAAAATAAACTCACTCTAAATAAGAGTAATTGTTCAATCAACCAGCTGTTCTAACCATCAAAAAGTCAACTTTGCTTTTTGCTAGCAAGAACCTCTTTTGCAGGTAGATACAGCAAAAGGTCATTCTTTCTTCTTGGAACTAATTCATTCTAAGCTCAGAAACCTTTAGGAAACTAGACATTCCAAAAAAATGCACTCTTTTCCAATCTAAAAACTGAAAAGATCTTTTTAAAAACTGAAGATATGTTTTTTATTTGAAACTGATTAAAATTAGGCTTTTAAAAAAATGTTTTTAAAGGAGAAATGTATTCAAAATTCCCATCAAAACTTTAAAAAAAAGATTCAAAAACGTACTTGTTTTGTTAAGTGACAATGACTTGTTTTGTTGGAGTGGCAATATTTAACCCTGTCATTTTAGAGATATAAAACAATTTATAAAGAGTATCTTTGACTATTTTTATCTCAATTAGTCACAACTAAAAGCTAGATAATAAAATGATTATACAATTAAATATTAATACATTAGCAATTTAAATAAAAATTCGTAACTCATCTTAAACTAGGACAGGGTGACATTGTACACATGGAAGGTTAAATTGAAACCCCTTTGTAGAACTATTTGAAGATAACAAAAAAAATAATTTTAAATAAGAGTCAAACATCTCTGAAGTATAAAGCTACCCAATATTCAGCACACAAGACATGTTAGAAGAGAAAAACGGAGACAAGGAAATGCAGCGTTTCTCACAGATGAGTGTTATTAGTAAGTAACTCCATCTTAAAATATTTGTAACAAATAATAGGGTTTTTGTAGAATCCTTAAATGGATCAGGCCCATAACTGTTAGACTGTTAAGCAGGTCAGTTGAGAGAGGGACAAACAGAACACGGTACGTGAAATCAAGATAGAGAAAGACTTTTCCACCAGAATGAGAATTTTTTCCCCCCAAGTGCACCCTTGAATTTTGCTTCTGACACCCGGAGAAGCAACTACTCGGATTCTCCTGGTGCAAAGCCGGGGGAACAGAACTCCCACAGACTATTTAAACACACACACACACACACACACACACACTAACTTTTCCCCCCTGGTGCACAATCTCACCGACCACCCTGTCCTGGGAGGGCAGAGAACGTGCACGGTGGTGCTCAGCCTGGCTGCCCTGGAAAGCAACGCGTACTCCTGAAAAGTAAACCCAAGCCGGCTTCCCGCAGAATTTTCTGAATGGCGGCCAAGCGCCGGGCACGCCGTCCCGAGGCTCGCTCCGGGATAGCTCGAGTTCTGCATTCTCCACTTACAACTTGTACCTTCCCAGGCTTCCGCCACCCCGGCACAAAACCGTTCTGAAAAACGAGCCTTAAAAACGTTCCTCGGGACTCCTAAGGGGGCGGGGGGGGGCGGTAAATCCATCCACATCCCCCCCACACCCCCTGAACACCGGGGCCCCGCGCTCCGGCCGGGGACACCTTTCCAGACCATCAGCAGGGCGGAAGTCGTGTGCTAAGGTCCCAGAACAAAAGGACCCCTCGACCGACCAGGGCCCTAGCCTCACACGGGTCACCTGCCGGCCCGGCGTCGCCCCGGCACCCCGCGGCCGGGGTCCGAGCGCGGCCCGGCGGTTCCCGGTGTCAGGTCGCGGGGCGGCAGGTGAGGGCGGTGACCGCCCCTCCACACCCGGCGGCGGCCACGCGGAGGAGGCCGGCGGCGGCGGGTCGCTCCGTTATCCTCGCCCTCCCCTCCCGGGCTGCCACTAGGTGAGCGGACTGCATCGCTCGTGGTAGTTAATTGTGGGGTGCCTGGGCAGGCCCCCCACACACCCCGATTTCCCGCGGCTCCCCGGCTCCTGTGCTCCGGCTGCCGGGGTCCGGAAGGCGAAGTTTCGCTCCCGCCCGCGGCGTGGCTGCTCGGGCGCCGCCCGGCTCTCTCGAGGGTCCCGCGGGCAGCCGCAGCGGTCACTACCGCTGGGCCTCGGGCGGTATCGGGGGCCGGGGGGGAGGAGGGGGGTCTGCCGGCCAGCGGAGCCGCGGCGGGACCTGTCACCCGGGCGGGAAACAAAAGCCGAGCGGGGACGCCCGGGCGCGACCGCCTCGCCTCGGGGGAGCGCGGCGGGGGCGGGAGCGGCTCCGGCGGCTGCCCGCTCCGCGCCTCCCGGGAGGGAGCCCCGGCCCGCGGGCCCCTCGCAGGGAGTGGGCCCCCCGCACCTCACCTCGAGGCTTCCCGGGCTCCGTTCGCCCCGGCGCGTGAGGGGGGCGGGAAGGTGGCCGGTGGCGGCGGGACCGGGAAAGAGGGAATTGGGCTCCCGGGGCGCCGCGCCCGCCCGCTCTAGTCCCCGCGGCCCTGGCGCCGGTACCTGTCACTGTGATAACTCACCGGCTCCGTCTCTTCAGCACGCCGTTCACCCCGCAGCCCGCCCAGCAGGCTGCCCGCGCGCCGGACACCGCCGCCCAAGACTGGCAGCGTCCGCGAACCGGCCCGAGTCCCCCGGGCAGCGCCCGGCGCGGTCCCGCCCCCGCCGGCCGCAGGACCCGCCTTCCATAGGGCCCTGGGGCTGTCAGTCCGCCCCCAAAAGGCGCGCGGGCTGCCTCTCAGCCTGACCGGATTGGTGGCCGCGCGCCGCTCATGCAAATGAGACCACGCCCTGCTCATTTGCATCCGGCTTCTCCACACTAGCCCACGTGTCTGGCCCTTGCCCTTTGTGGGGGCCAGAGAGAAGGGATGGAGGAAGCTAACTGACACCCCTCAGATCATTTCCTACCTCTAGACAAACTAATGCTCAAACAAGCTCGTTGACTTTTATGTCTGTCTCGGCTTTCTGAAGGCTCTTCCCCTTCGATCAGGACAAACGGTCAGTGGGAGAGCAGGCTAGGCTGGCCCCTGGAAGCAACCCTAAGAAGTCAAAAATGCTCAAGCAAGACCGGGGAGATCCCACCTCTAGAACCAATTTACCACATAGCACCTCCCTCTGGACACCCAGTAACTGAAAACTATGCTTTCCCGTGGCTCTCTACCTTTCAAACATGATTTCGCAGGTGATGAAGACAGAGGGGGTTTTAAAAATGGCTATGTTCTCTCTACCCCAGCCCAACTCCTGAGTAAGGAGCGCTGACCAAACCCAGCATCAAGACACCACCACCACCACCCCCAAAAAAGATGAGCAACTTCTGAGTCACTCCCACAGAGACAGACTCCAGAGCTGCACCTGGGCCTTGGGGACTTTAATTTAACTCCTTCTATTTTTTTTTTTTGCTGGTCATGGGCCCTGAACTCTGGGTCTGGGCACTGTCCCTCAGCTCTTCAGCTCAAGGCTAGCGCTCTATCACTGGAGCCACAGCGCCACTTCCGGCTTTTTCTGTTTATGTGGTGCTGAGGAATCGAACCCAGGGCCTCATGTTTGCAAAGCATGCACTCTACCGCTGAGCTACTTTCCCAGCCCCTCCTTCTATTTTTTTAACATGTGTTTCATTTAAGTAATGTACGGAAGAGTTCCAATTCACTAACTCCTTCAATTTTTGAGGAAATGCACCTAAAAACCCATAGCTAGTTATCTACAGGATATAATAGTTACCCGTAGAAGCCTTACTGTCTCATGGTGGAGTTAGAAGTCATGTCTCCTGGCTCCAAATCTGTTTTTTTGTTCTCTGTCAATGTCAGGTATTTATGAAGAGTTTCAACAAGTCACCATGTTGGCTGGTGGTATAATTATTCATTCTGTGCTTTCAAGAAAAGACACTGATTGGGCTGGGAAGGTGGCTCAGTGGTAGAGTACTTGCCTTGCATGCATGAGGCCCTCAGCACCACATAAGCAGAAAAAGCCAGAAGTGGTACTATGACTTAAGTGGTAGAGTGCTAGCCTTGAGCTGAAAAGCTGAGGGACAGCACCCAGGCCCAGAGTTCAGGCCCCACAACCGACAGAAAGGAAGAAAGAAAGAAAGAACCGACAAAAAGAAAGAAAGAACCGACAAAAAGAAAGAAAGAACCGATAGAAAGGAAGAAAGAAAGAAAGAAAGAAAGAAATTTCCTGGTGTGCAGGGGCCCTGTCTCAGCCAGTTGGAAGCTTCCTCTTCATGAGCTGCCAGGAAGTCACTGAAACAATAGATTTGCATTGACTCAAAATCACAATGTTAGTTGGGTGCTGGTGGCTCACACCTTTAACCCTGGCTACTCATGAGTCTGAGATCTGAGGATCATGGTTCAAAACCAGCCAATCAGGAAAATCTATGAGATTCTTTTTTTTTTTTTGGGTCCGGTCATGGGCCTGAACTCTGGGCCTGGGCGCTGTCCCTCAGCTCTTCAGCTCAAGGCTAGTGCTCTACCACTTGAGCCACAGCACCACTTCCGGCTTTTTTCTTTTTGCTTATGTGGTGCTGAGGAATCGAACCCAGGGCCTCATGCATGCAAGGTGAGCACACTACCACTGAGCCACCTTCCCAGCCCAATCTATGAGATTCTTATATCCACTTAAGTACCAACAAGCCAGAAGTAGAACTGTGGGTCAGGTGGTAGAGTACCAGCCTTGAGGGACAGTGCTAAGTCCCACTGCCAAAACCAAAACCAAAACAAAACAAAACAAAAGAAGTTGATCAAACCTACCATATCAATGTCACTTAATTAAGTACCTACTTAAACTTTCAAAGAGCAAGTTGTAAGTACTGTGCAGTGCCACTTAGACCAAGGTGAGAAGACACTGTGCCAGCCCTGAAGGCCTGAAGCCTAGGCAGCAGGGACATCTACATCACATCTCAGTGCCGCTCATGTGACAGAGGTGGTGGCAGACAACTGCAGAGGGCACAGCCAGGGCTCCATGGGGAGGAATCAGCTCTCCTTGGAAGAGGAAGGGAAGGCTTCATTGACGAGGTCATATTTGGAAGATAGAGTAGGTGTTTGCCAGACTGTGATCTGTAGATGAGGAAGGAGGGCAAGGACTCCCAGTAGAAGGAGGAGCAAAACAGCACACAGACCTGGAAAAGCCTGGTAACTGCGGGAACAGTGTGACATGGTATAGACAGATCTGCAGGCTGTGTGGACTTGTCACATGCTCTGGGACCAGGCTTTTCCAGGAGGAAGACAGAAAAGCCCCAGAGGCTGCCAGGCTGTGTTGTAACACACCACACAGCAAACAACAGGCCCTGTAGATACAGCTGCAGGCTTTCCCCTCCTCACACCCCACACCCCCACCAGGCCAGAGTCTGTGGGGAACAGTCAGTTCCACAGTTCTGGTGGCAGCCTGGCTCGTCTTCCCCACTCCCCCCAAAATCCATTCTGGCCACTGCACCTACCCTCCTCTGCGTTTGGAAGTACGTGTGCTTGCATTTCCTCTAAACATGGCTGCTCTTCTCAATTCAAAGATGACATGGACTATGGCTGCAAACATCTGGATATGGGATGAACAGCCCTAGCCTCAATTCATGGAACTGTTCTTTTCAGGGCCTGTCACCGAAGCTGGCTGCTTGACCTGTATCTTTACACAGGGCCCGCTGTCACCATATTGACATTCTCAGTAATTTTTCAACAAGGGCCCTGCATTTTCACTTTGCACTGGATCTTGCAGATTATGCAGCCAATTCCGCCTATCCCTTAGTGCCCCTGGGTGTGTTTGTGATACAGCTCAAACCACATCTCATTTTTAAAGCATTTGGCATTCACTAAGTTTGTTCACATGCTTGTGTCACTTGATTCTCACCATGGTAATATGGGATGGGCTTACATTACTTTTTATTCTCACTTACTAACTGAGAAAACTAGAGTTCAGCAATCCTGTCCAGGTGGTCCAACAATAGCAAGTGGCAGAGCTTGTACTTGAACTTGAGTGGGCTGACCACCCAATCTCCATTTCACTTACTACAGAGCTACCTCTGGCTTGATTTCAGAATTCTGCCAGAAGCAGCTTGGCACATTAAAGAGGTACTGTTTTAAGAGGCAGGACGCATGTTAAAAGGGATATCTAAGCCAGGTACCAGAGACTCATGCCTGTAATCCTAGCTACACAGGAGGCTGAGATCTGAGGATTATGGTTTGAAGCCAGCCAGAAGAGGAAAGTCCAAGAGACTCTTATTCAATTAGCCACCAAAAAGCCAGAAGTAAAGCTGTGGTTCAAGTGGTAGAGAGCTAGCCTTGAGCTGAAGAGCTGAGGGACAGTGCCCAGGCACAGAGTTCAGGCCCCACGACTGAGAAAAAAATAATAATAATAAATAAATAAATAGAGTAACAACTGCTAGAATTGAGATACAGAATCAACAAGGCTATAGAATACAAGATCAGAAACAAGTAACTATTATATTTCTGTATACTTGCAATGAATAACTCAAAAATGAAATTAATAAAACAATTATTAAAAAGAAAACAATTAATTCATAACACCATAAAAAAGAATAATATAAAATGGAATGTGTTTAGCAAAAGAAATCCTCTGTAAATTACAAAACACTGAAAGAAATTAAAATTAATAATTGAAAAAGTATCTTAGAGCCGGGCGCTGGTAGCTCACGCCTGTAATCCTAGCTACTCAGGAGGCTGAGATCTGAGGATCGTGGTTCAAAGACAGCCTGGGCAGGAGAGACTGTGAGACTCCTATCTCCAATAAACCACCAGAAAACCGGAAGTGGCGCTGTAGCTCAAGTGGTAGAGCGCTCGCCTTGAGCTGAAGAGCTGAGGGACAGCGCCCAGGCCCAGAGTTCAAGCCCCACGACCGACAAAAAAAAAAAAAAAAGAAAAAATATCTTAGGTATACACATTGGTTTAACTTGTTTGTGGAGGCGTGGCACTGGGGTTTGAACTCAGGTCTGAAACACAAATACTTAGATACTAGAGTCTGAACCTTAGTCACCTTGATCTGTAACCTCCTGAATAGTTGAGACTATAGACATGAGCCACAGACCCAATCACTGTCTTAACATTGCTAAGATGGAAATGCTTTCTAGGGCTGGGAAGGTGGCTCAGTGGTAGAGCACTTGCCTTGCATGCCTGAGGCCCTGGGTTCGATTCCTCAGCACCACATAAGCAAAAAGAAAAAAGCCGGAAGTGGCGCTGTAGCTCAAGTGGTAGAATGCTAGCCTTGAGCTGAGGAGCTGAGGGACAGCGCCCAGGCCCAGAGTTCAGGCCCCAGGACCGGACCCAAAAAAAAAAAAGGAAATGCTTTCTAAATTAGCTTTCAGATTCCATACTATCCCTTTATAGATTCAGATTACTTTATAGAAATCAGCAAGCTGAAACTTAAACTCATGTTTAATTGCAAGGGTCTAATCATTTTAAAAAGCCAAAACTGGCCAGGTACTGGTATCTCAAACTTATAATCCTGGCTACTCAGTAGAACATCTGAGAACTACAGTTCAAAGCCAGCCCATGCAGAATCTCCAACTAATTAGGAAAAAAAAAAAAAGCAGCTAGAAGTAGATCTGTGGCTCTAGTGAGAAGAACACCAGCCTATAATTAAAAACCAAGAGAAACTAGAGATTTGGAGTTCAAG